GGACTATCGAAGAAAAGGACTCAGAAAACTTCGTATATTTTAATCGGAAAGCTCCACTAGAATGTCCACTATGTAAACGTATACATGACAAGGATCAGCGGTGGTTCGGCCATGTATATATCACCAGTGGAACATTCATTGTAAAATGTTTCTGGCAAAATAGTGATAAACCTGGGGAAGTTTTTGAATGCGACCCATTTATCGCAGAAAAAATCCAGCAAGAAAATAAAAATTTCCCGCAATCATCTCACAATGTAAAAGCCTCCAGTTTCCCTAAAGCTTTTATAAAATTCCCATCCTGGACCAAGTATAATAACCCTTTTACAGCAACAAAAACATATGAGGAGAGATATATGAGGCCACTACCTGATGAAGGGGATATTTATGTAGGATCACCTTGGGAGACAGAAAAAACATATGTTTTAGAGCATCTTACTATATCTGACGACATGAATTTGCTAGTATTATTCACGCACCACTCCTATTCGAATACAGTTATTACCAGACTTAATCTCAAATCATATTGTGATATCGATGGTAATATAAATCTACCTGATCATAAGAGGGTAGTATGTCAGATAGAAAGTTTACATCGGATTACTAATAATTGCAAATATAATAAAAAATGCAAATGTTCTCCAATCCAATATGACTTGTGGCTTGATGAAATAGTGTCTATAATTGCTTAAGCACAAAGTCATCTGGCAGGTTAATCGATAGAGAAGTTATATAAATTGATCCAAGACACGAGGCATATTATTGTAATGGATAATGACCTAACTAACCTTAACATTGAATGAATTAAGGCCCTTCATAAGAATATATCTCTCTCTATTATCCACAATACTTACCAGTCTCAAAAAGATAAGACATTCTGCTTGGCTCCTAATAAAGAAACAATATTAGCTGAACTTTGGGAATGGGCTAAGCAAATGTCTTTATTATCTTTTAAGAATCGGACAAGCGTATCGCTCATCTGTCACCTTAGAAAAGATATGCAAGAAATAGTTCATGCTCTCAAGACTGATTTTCCAGAATTACGGATTAAGGAATATCACGGCAAGTCTGATCTGGTAGAAAAGGCTCATGACTTCAGCAATGTGAAAGAGTCATGGAAAGACATAGACTTAGTTGCCTATACAAGCACTTTAAAAATAGGAGTATCCTGCACTAATCCTAGTTCAGACGAGCATTCTGTCTTTTTAATAGCTACATATAGGGCTCCTAACGATATTACTTCGATACCTGTTCGATACCAGTTCGATACTTAAATTTACTATAAATTTATATGAGTAGGTCACAACCCATATATTAAATTTACTATAGATCGGTACCATTTTGATACCACTTTGGTACCGGTTCGGTACTTTTTGGAGCCCTAGTTACATAGAAACAAATGTCAGGACGAATCAGATGTTATTTCGCATGCGGTGTATTAAGGATTATATATGTCATATTGAGCAGAGATCTTTTAACGTCCCCATCACAGAGAAAGGTTTATTCCAATGGTTGTTGAATGCCAAATGGAAATGTCTCCCCCGGGAACTTCAGAATAGAAGAATATTTCCAGATATAGATTCTATCATTCGGAATAAGAACGTATCAACTGTTCGTTTATGGACGGCCTATATGTTGGAAAGATTCCGTTCCCAGCACTTATTTGATTGAAGGATGGTTAATTTTCTCCAAAATGTGGGTATGGTAATTTTTGTCATCGAACTCATTTCTAAACCTGAAGATACTATGATATCATTATCCCAAACAGTGAAGGCATGTTCCTCTATTATTAAAGCAGAGGAGATAGCAGATGTATCTAATGCTACTATTGTCGATCGTGAGACTGCCGAATTATTGGAGAATAAACCAAGGAAGACTTTAGAAAAGATACGCTCTTTAGACAGGCATCATATTGTAGAATGTTATGAGATCCCACCCGAATCATTGACTGAAGAATTCATCTCGAAATATGGAAATTTTAATCATATGAAATGGTTTAGAGCTTATAGGCAATTACGAGATGCTGGCACTGATAATGAGACAGCTGTTGAGACTATATCCCGTAAAGATTACAGAGAAGATAGGCTCACAACTGTAACCCGGGCTGAGAGGCATCGAATTTGCTTAGAATTATTAAGAATTTGCACACCAGCTAGAGATATCGATGATAGAACACGATATAAAGCTGATGAAGTCAAAACATGCATGGGTTCTCCTGAATCGATATCATATCTCCAGGGTTTAATGTTTAAAATGGCTCGAGTGTTTGATAATACCGATGCATCTCGCAGTACTAATAAATCGGGATTAAAAATGATTCGAGCAAAACTTGGTTTATTAAATGCATCACTTTATGCAACTTATGGATTAAAATTTAAAGCTATAGATAAGAATCGTAGACATTATCACCTAGTAGGTTTATTCGATAGTAAAGACGCTACTAGATTACCTTTATATCAAATGGGTGAAGAAATTTATTGGAAAAATGGTGAAGATACTCGATATGGGTATAGTAAACTTCCACCCGATGAATTAATAGATAATTTTACTAATTCTAGCAAAGTAGGTAATACGCAAACTACAGAAGATATTCAGGACTTATTTGATATATGCTAATACTATTCGATTACGAATCAGGTAGGTGAAGAAGGCTTTATCTATCGGCATATATTATTAAAAAAAAATATTTTATCCTTGCTTCACTCCGGTTAGAATACATAGTCACATACTTCTGAGATGCAGGTTTCTGCCAATCTTATATGTCTAATGAATAGAATAAATTTTTTTTTGCTTACTCTAGACAATTCAGGAGGTTTCGAGCTAACCACTAATCCCCAAAGAGGTCAAGCCCAAAATCCTCATCATCCGACTTGGAAACTGGAGCTTCATAGATTCTGGGTTGAAGGGGTCTAACCACATCACTCAGCTCGAAAATCGGAGTATCGGGGATTTTGGGTTGAAGTGAAACGAGGGTCTCAATCAAATAATCCTAGCCTATCTGATAAGTCGTCCTTATCTGATAATTCATAGGTTTCTGCGGGTTGATGGGCCTCAATCGATAATTTAGATGTTTTTGCAGGTTGAAGGGCCGAGGTCCCATACTTCTGTTTTATTCGATAATTCATTGTATGATACTTTGCAAAATATTTGAAACAATATTTGGCGCAATACCCCGAATCAGCATCAGTAGGAAATCCACAAACCAGGTATGGTCTTTTTTTTATATTTTTTTCATATAATTTCCAGTGTCTTGAACAACCAGTAGTACGAGTACAGATTCCCCCACAAATGGAACCATCTCTCTTGATATGCTGACAAGTAACACGATCCATGTAAGTATTTTAGGATATAAAAATCTTTTTTACTTTTAATATTATAATAAAATGTGTATTTAAATTATTTGGTATTAAGATAAGTCATAAATGTTTTTTCATACTAATGCTATGAATACATTAGATCAGGCGATAGAAGCCCACGAACAAATCTATAATCCCAAAACTATTTGATTTAATGTTTTATCACCAAATTCTGCACTATAATATAAATTTAAATAAACGATATTTGGGAACAGATCCGCAATGCTTTTAAATTTTTTATTTGAAAGTGAATGGTAGTATGGAATTTCCAGTTGGGTTACATTCAAACAATAAACTGGCTTATGTTCACCACATATTATTTTCATAAATTTTTTTCGTATATTACTCTTATTTAGCTCAATTCGTTTTCATAGAATAGGAGCACCACAATCGGGAAACATATAGAACAGGATAGAGAGATTTATCTATTAATAAGAAATATAGAATCTGTTCTAGTACTTCTGGTATACTAAAAATTCTTGAATGTGCCATAAATAATATGTGTATTAAAAATGCAAAGAACGATTTAAATTTCAAACTAATGACCAGTTACCTATGTGTTGGTATATACCATCTTTTTTTGGAAGGAAAAGGCATAATTAATTTCAATTTGAAAGAATAAGTAGAATAATGTATAATCATAATCTATTTATCGATATATATATTATTTACATACCTATCATGGCAACTGCCCGAAAAACCCGAAACCCCAAAACTAATAGCTTTACCTCTATTTTGAATCAGATCATGAAAAAATATAACCTATCTGCAGAATCTGACCCATCCCAATTACGTGCTCATGCCAATGAGCTTGGTACTATGCTACCAGATTGGAAAGCTCATAAAGATGTAAAAGAGGCTCTTCATCGATGCCTATTCAAAGGGAATCAAATAGAAGCTCTTGTACTAGACAAAAGGGGGAAAAAGCTTACTATCAAGAAAAGAGCTCAATATTGTGCAAAAACTGAAGATGTCTGGGATATTTACTTGCATGCTTTAGATTTAGCTGAGACAAAAAATAATACTGATGAGGAGATTGTGGTGTCCAGTTCCCGTCTTTCACAATTTCATAAAGAGTTAGCAAAAGCTGGAGTTGATCCCAAAGAAATTGATACATATGCCAAATTACCAGATGTTACTGAAGCTTCTAACAAAATCCAGAAGAAAAAACTCGAACAACGATTACCCAATCCATCTAAAACTCCCAAACACTTTTCTTTAGAGAAGGAACTTAGAAGAATTCAAAATATTGATACTACTAAAATTCCTACTATGCAAGATCTCGCAGATGTAATCATGATGTTGAGCATAAAACCTGCTGAAGTGACTACTCTCCAAATTATCCATTATGAACCTAATGAATCAAACCCTTCAATATGGTATAAGTCTGGCTATTCTTGGTATTGTACTGGGTATATTAAAAATAAACTGAGAAAAAAACTGAAGAATGAAGAAAATGATACTTCCAAACCTAAGCCTGAATCTCGGCAATTTCTTTCTATGGAAAAGAACCCAGAACATGCAAGAGAATTGCTTATCTGGATTCAAAATGCGATAACAATTGGAAAGTTGTGTGATCCTGTTTATAGTGTTAATGGGAAACATAGTATTAAATCATTTAATAATTTTCTAAGACCTTATGGTATTATGGCCAAAAGATTAAGAAAAATTGGAGATAAACACACTTCTAGAGTTTATGGTGGGCTCGATTTTCTTATCAAAATTGCATTGAGACATAATATAGACCATTTTAATGCAGGAAAAAATTATGCTGAGGGTGATATTTCCGATTCTGAATCCGAGTCTGATGATTCTTTAGAGTTAAAACTTTCTGATCTCAAGGCTTAAGCTTCGACATCTTAGCCTAAGAATAATAACTATAATCCTTTCGGGTCTCAGATTGCAGAAATAGATTCAATGTTAGCTACATATATCCGTTACCCATGTACTCACACATAACTAAACCATTGATACATTAAGTGCTTTTGGTCATGCCAGCTCTGCTGATAATTTTATCTTATCTATCTTTTTTCCGAACTAGAAGATTATGATGATGCCGAGCATCAAGTCTTTGACTCTCAATAAATGATATGATAATTCTATTAATTTCATTCTGAGATTTTTTATTTATCAAATGTAGGGAAAGCGAGTCGACCTACCCATTTGTCATATATATTTTTTTTCAGTTGGCTCCATTGATTATCTATTAAATTTATATGTTTGAGATAGCATATATAATATGAGTTATAGAGAGTACAAGATAGGTTAAGTGAATATGGTGAAAATTATATTGTTAACAATATTAAAACGTCAGAAGCGTGATTACAATTTGTAAAATATTATCCACCAAAATATATATGCAAGCGTTTATTAAAATTAGGATATGAAATAAATAGTAGAGATTATTGGGAAAATTTTGTATTTCGTATCAAAAATAATTTAACCAGCCATAAGCAAATAGGTAATGACCCTGAATATCATGGGCAAACATTCGTGTGATTGGCCAATTTATGTAGATCCATACATGGTCATACATGGTAATTGGCCAATAAAATTGTTGAATTACAATTGATTAATTTATATTAAAATTCTTATGTATTTCATAGGATAAGAAACCAACTTAAACATTTCGTACGTGGAGCTGAATCCTACTAATGTGTTTATAGGTGAAGCCGAAAAGACATATGTGTTTATGGGCAGAACCGACTAAATGTATGTTGCAGGAGTAAGTGACTAAACAAAAAAATAAGGGCAGTGCGTGTTTTGTAGGTGGAGAAGCCAGCACGGCACTTGCGTAATGATAAGTGCAAAGTCTTCTTGCTTGAGGTGCATTACTATTTGGTCGGTGATTCCTTTATTAACAACACTTCCTTCTTAAACCAGGCCGGTCCTTGATCCATGCCATAAATTTCTCTTTCGGCCTTACTGGATCCTACTTTGAGGTGATGTTATTTTCTTTAAGGAAAGTATTTTATTAATTAAGGAGAGGCTTTTATTACAATTCTTACAAGATACTGACTGTTTTTCTAATATACTTCTATTATCCTAGTGCGACGCGTCCCAAATCTCTCCAAACTCAAATAGACTCTGGCGCCCACCATTGATAATGGTTTTTATTTAGGGAAGGTATTTTATTAATCAAGGAGCAGCTTTTATTACAATTCTTTAATTATCGAATGCCTAACGCTTTACGTAGTATACATATTCTAAATATATATTTTTTTATCTTTTGTACTTTATAATTAGTGAGCTTAAACAATTAATTGTAATGTAAATGCTAAATACTAGTTAAACGCTATTTTTTATTTACTTATCTATATCGATGCAAACTTGATATAACCATGATGAAAAATTATACAAATAAATAAATTCGCGAAGGATTATTTAATTTTATTAATTATGAAAAGAATAGTATTGTTTATTGCATCTGAAATTTTTGTATCACCTTTTCTAATGCAAATGGTGCATATTCAACCAATCCGTTTTTTTCATCGTCGTCATGAGAAACATCATTCTTTTCCTTTTTTTTTTTTCTTTTTTTTGGGGATTTCGAAAACTTTCAAGTAATGAATAAACATGTTTATCAACATCATCTCGTAGGAACGAAAGACAATGTCAACATTTGAACCCATTATTAATATAACAGGATTCATGATAAGTATGTCCGCAGGCCAGAATTCTAATCAGATCTGTATTAAAAGAAGAAAATATAAGACAATTAGATGAATCGCAATATCGAAACAGGTCTGGCATATGTGAGGTATTAAAACCTAAAGAAAGGTAATATAATTTTGCTTCCGACATTCCCATCGCATTTAATGAAATGGTACTGTCGAATTTTTTTTTGCTTTTTTTCTTGGATGACTTTATAATAAATCGCAAAACTGTTAATGGTGATTGATGATGAAATACACATGTGTAAATTTTTAAAAAAGATTGTAGAAGAAAACAAGAACTTTTTTTGATTAAATTAGTAATATCTTATGTGGAATATTCATATGATGCCCATGTAGATGTGTGAACAAAATTTTCTCTAAATTCATTGCAATCAAGACGCAGTTTATTGAGATAATGATCATATTTAATAATCTGCTCTGCATCATTATGTTCTTGTGTACTCCTGCGCAAGAAACTATAAAATATTTCAACGGTTGAATTGGAGAATTTGGGAAGTTCAGCTTTAATGGACACTAGGATCGGATGATTAATCGATTCCCAATAGAAAATATCAGAGAGAAGCATTAGTGGGGCTTTCGTGTAGTTTTTGCGATTGAATCTAAGAAATATTGTCCAAACATGAAAGCAAGATTCAAAATAAGTGTTAAAATCTCTGGATCTAAAAAATACAGCATAAATATCCAAAACAAGAGGAATCATATTATCGAGAAGATCCTTAAGTGTGAGATATTCAGCATCTTTACAGAATCCAAATTTTTCTTCAACGATTTTTGAAATTTCCTGCCATGCACTGCGAGAGATCTCCAAGATTAGATTGATGTGCCACGGCTTAGGTTTTTCTGCAAGAATTTTTCGTTCTCCAAAAATATACCTATATATAGACTAGACAAAAAGAAAGGTTGATATTTAAGAAATATTAATTCTTGACTATTTAGTGAAATGTGAAGAGGACCTATAATAGGAAGAAAAGATAAAATAGAATTAGTAATATTTGATAAATTATGATTAAGCAAATAATGTGAAATTGCTGTTCTAATATAAATTTGTCCAGGCCAATCCGTTATGATAGGAATTATATTCCCTTTTTTGATATATTGCTACATAGATGGAATATTTGTGACAGCATTAATGGCTTGAATATATTCATCCAAAGAATGAAGCGTATTTTTTTGAAGATCAATAAGAATGATATCTTTCATGGAACGGATATGACATTTCTCTTGTAATCGGATATCATAACTATGCACGATTAGTTCTTCTAATCTTGTATTGTCGTCAATTGCATAAAATCCCCAGCGTTGATTATATGAAAGATCATATAACTCCATAAATCTATTTTCTAAATTTATTTTAATAGATTTGGCATTAACCAATTTGGAATTGTGTATATTTAGTTGTGGGATAGCTTTTTGTGTAATAATTGGATTCATCAAAATTGTTGCAAGATGTGCAGCATTAGAGGTCGTAGTGATGTTTGGTACCCATTTCGTATAAATATTATGATAGTCATCGATATTTAATACTATTGCCTTTTCTATATGTTGAGTAAGTATAGTATTAACAAGCCCATAATGTTCTTTAGATGCATCGGTCTTATATCGTGTAATTGAATGAGATGTAATGGTTATACCTAAATCAGAAAGTGTATCTAAAGTAGTGTTAGAAACACCTGTAAAATCTAAATACATAGTTAAATCCCTTTTTGCATCATTTACAAACTTGTTCCGAATTCCACAAAGAAAGAAACATATAAATAAAAGCTGTTTTTTTACTCTTATCTGTGAATTCTTATTTTTTGTAGACGGGCTAGATGAAAAATACAATTCATCAAAGAAAGATTTTAATCTTATATCCTCACCTTCCATAATCTCCCGAAATTCATCAAAAGAATATATTGTTGGTTTTTTTTCTCAATTTTCGTGGGTATACAAAATATCTGTTAAGACTTTTACAGCTTGAGAAAAAGAAAGAAAATCATTAGTATTATCAGCTTTATTAATCTCCTCAAACCTGTATTGTTCTTGAGCATGCCGTTTGAATTCAATTGAACTGTTAATTACAATTCCATTATAACAGTTCATACAGATCACATCATCCACATGAATATAGCTTGGCAACGTATTATTAGTTTGACCTTAGGAAAAAACATTTTCAGTAACTTTTCTCCAAATAGTCGATTTTCCTTGACAAATAGTAATAGCACAAGATTTAATAGTATTAGTAGATGACATTTTTGCTTCTAAGTAAAGTACTTTGAGATTTTTGATTATTTTTTGATTATTTTGCACAATGAATAAAAATGTTTTTTCGAAGCAAGAAATAACTTTTACAACGATTTTTTGTTAGTGAAACGTTACATTCTCAAAAAGTACTTTAAACTATATAAATAAGTTATCCAGGCAATTGATTTACACCAGCCAATTATATAAATGTCCGACTATGATGTCTAACCGCATATCAACTGTTCTCTCCTTTCCTCTATCATTCACCTTCGTGTTCGTTGCTTTTCTTGTTATAACTAGTATAATTACTGTACTCTCGCCCATTTTGATTCCGTTTGCTGGGTATAATTTTAATGAATAAATAGAAGAAATACGTGTTCTGTGAAAATCATTTATAACTGATATCGATCAACGTCTTTAGACTTTTTATTCTGTTTAAAGTTATGGAGAAATTTCGAACAGTTGAAGATAATCCCCTGAAACGCTTCAAACTCTCCTCATGTATGAGATGAACCCTGGTCAAGCGCAAAGGTTTCTTGGTAATGCTTGAAAATGCATGTAGCAATGATTTGATGTTTATTCCTTAACCTATCTCTGTAGCTCGTGTAGGCGAGAACTTCAGGTGGCCTTCCTCGATGCCAGAATGTCATAGAAGGGATGCCCTCGTACAAATCGCTGACGTTGATCTCGAATTTGATGACGATATAGGGTTTAACCTTATATTTTTCTACAATGCACTCGACAGAGGCGAGTTTTCTGGTCATGAAAATGAGTGGGCGACGGTGTACAACCAGAGAGTAGTAGAGTATGGACAGCAGTATAACGATGAACAATTGAACAGCGTTCTCGAAGCTATGCCTAGTGCCATCCAACTCCCAGTTGATCAGACACGTCTGCCACGTAGTAAGCCGGCGAAGATGGTGGTTGTTCAGCGTACTAATAATGGTGACGACTACAAGGTTTGAATATGTAGAGTATATTGTAAATTTAGGATGTATTTTCATGTTGGTTCAATTTTCCAAAAGTTCGCGTCAGAAGACCTGGAGAAACTAATATTATCGCTCTACTTACATATGATTTTTATGACGGTGCAAATAACAACAAAAAGTATACATGTGTGATTGATACAGGTGCACCAGAAACAATATTACCGTATTATGTTAAACATAGGCTTGGAAGGAGGGGGTGGAGTACAGCATCAAACCTAATGGCTGGAGGTTATGGAGCACCTGCAAGACAAGTTTCCGCGTGTTCATTTTTTGAGGTGTCCATTGGTGACGATAATAATTGGAGCAAGTGGGTTCAAGCAAAAATTCTAATCTGGGAAAAAACTCCCGGCAATCAAGTGGAACATGCCCTTGTTGGTAATGATATTACAGATCAATTGGCATACGCACATGAGCCAGGGAATCCATTAAAGTTCTTAGATATTGTAGATGATACTAGACTCACCACGTTTTTGAATGGATGCAGTTAATCCCTTAACCTCGATAGGAATTTCGTATAAAATATGATTAAATAATGACATTGCTTTATCAATATGAGAATGGTATCACGCCCAATAACAGTTAATTAATCAATCTTGCACTCTTAATTATTATTTCATAATATTCAGTCCATAATTTCTTGAGAATTTCATAATGCCAAGCGTAGATTTGCAAAAATAAAGATTTCCCTATGAATCAATGCACGATCACGGCCCATCATGGGTTGATTAGGTACATTATGCCTGCAAAGCAAAAAAAGTGGATACAGGAAGTCTGGTGGTTCGATTCCGCATACATATTCATGTATGTGTAT